GCTGACCCAAGGCATGGAACTAAATCCAGACAGGGTGAATAGCTCCGTTTCCTTATTCCTCTGAGAAGCTGGGCCTGAATATGAAAGGCTGTTTAACACTTTGAAGCCACCCACAGTTCTGTCTTTGCCTCCCACACAAACTCCAAGGAACTGACTCATTCCCACCGTATTTTCAGCTGCGCGTAGATCCTGCTCTCAGCCGGGAAGATCCCCGTGCAGCCGAGCCAATGAAACACACATTGTGACTTCAGTTAGCTGGGCTTGAAAGGGTTTCTCTACGCCGACTAACAGTCAACAGCGTCTGAAGGCATCTGGCCCGCTTGAAAGTGGAGTAAGAACCATATTCTTTGGTTAGCTGTGTAATTTATGCCTCGTCTGCTGCTCCTTACTCATGATGCTTCCTTATGTTGACTGTTAAATAGCTGTCTGTGAAAATAAGTGATGCTGTCATCCGCCGTTAAATGGAAAGAAGTCTGCTCCACGAGCATGCACTCACCTCTCCTCTCCCCCTCTCTGTGGCAAACATGTTGCCTCTCTCTGTGGGGACTCTGGGTTTTGCAGCACTTTAAGAATGTGAGCAATACGCACAGCTCTCAGTGGTTCCTAACTCCAAAAAAGCAGCAAGCTTTTCTTGCAAGGCGAGAGACCGTGCTGTTCCCCTGCCCCCTGCCAACCTGGTGAGCTGAAATGCTCTTTCCAATTTGGATGGATGTCCTGACATCCCTGGAGTTCTAGCTCGCTAATTCTCTCAGTGCTGGGGAAAACAACTCACTTCTTGCTGACATCACGTTGTCCTCCTGCTATGTCTTATCCACTGTGAGTCTTTACAGCTTCATGCTATGCCTGAACAATTACACCCACGTTTTGGCTGAGAAACAGAGACAGATGAAGGCAGCTAGAATTAGGACATGGGAGACCTGCCTTCCATTTTCCTGTTCTTCTCACCAAGCTCATTTCTGCTGTCTTTTTCCCTGCTGGGTAGCAGGTCTCTAGCAAATACCTGCAAGGTCACTGCCTTGCACCTTTTCCCTGCTTCTCTGTAGAACTATCTGTGGGCTATTTGGACTCTGCACCACTTCTGCATGCCATGACACCACAGCACTCTCTTTGCAGATTAATCTTTGCACATTTTTGAGCATAATCCTGTTCACTATATTGTTATAGAAGATGGGGAGTGTAAACACCCTCTCTGATGCAAAGGAGGTAGCAATAGACTCAAAGAAGGAGGAGGAGATGTGAAAAGGCACACGTTATTTTCAGCATGCTACATTTGCCTGCCTTCATGCAACTTTCTGAGCGTTTGCCCCCCTCTGCAAAAATCTGGGGCAAAAGCCTGGCTCCTGTCTGCACTATTGGCTGCCCAGGTGAGGAATTTACCTCTGTCACCACCTGAGAACTGAGCAGTGTGAAAGCCTGCTCTTCCATCCTGCTGGCACCGAGCTGGCTTCCATCAACCACAGGGAGCTGCTGGGAGCCCAGAGCCCTGACCCACTCACTATGGCCACTATGAGCTGGGACATGAATAAACAAAACAGAGATAAAGGAGAGGCTGGGCTGAAAGCAACAGCTGTTTCCTATGGTCTCATGAGTAAATTCAGACTCCTCTCGCTGAGGGGCTGTGCTTTTTGTCCTTATGCAAAGGAATGAGTGAGAGTGCCTTTCTGGTACAGCAGGGTGGGACTTGTTTACCGTGAAACATGAGGGAGCAGCTCAAAAGGGTTTAAGAAAGAAAAACATCTCTTTTAAAGTGTATTTATTTCAGGTAGTTCCAAAGCTTCTAGCTCTGTTATCTTGCTCCAGCTGTGACTCCGGGAGCAGAATTACATCCTGTGCTTGCATGTGTCAATGAAACAACAGAGAGCAAAGTCTTTGGCCCCAGATAGCCTTTTGCTGACTACAGATGAGCTCTACTGTAGATCTGTTTGGATCCTGATGTAACGTTATATAAGCCATTTGGATTTTTAATACCTACATTAGTAGAAGGAGCAAAATCTCCTCTATGTAATTAAGCAGAAGTTTTGGCTTGAGCCTGGGAGAGGCTGTTGTTATAATGCCTCTCTAAAGCCAGGCTTGAGGGAACAGTTCTGCTCTCCATCCATGGAGCTGAGAGGAGAGCTTAGTGAGGAGAGATGGATTTTCCTGGTACTTCCCTTGTGTAAGCTCATTCTGTCTGTGTGGAAATCAAGTGCCCTTCTTCTACACAGCAACAAAGCCTTTGGGTATTTTCACAATAAGAGAAAATTCTAACATCGTAATCTGGGAACTAGAGAAATGCAACCTATCTTAACCCTTTCAGTTACCAGGTTACAGTGCCTGAAAACCCTTTGCCAACTCTCTTCACCTTAACTTGTTGAGGAAGAGGGTTGTTCTTGTGGGTTTTGTTTCTTTTTTTCTTTTCCCAAAGGGATGATTTTTTCGTGCTATGCTCGACAAACCATCCTCAAGCTGATGTAACAAGGCCCCAGACTGTCTGCATGGCCTGGCCACTTCTGTTTACATGTACAAAACCTGCAACAAATTTGGATTCCAGATTAGCCTGTCCCTATTCCCCCTGTGCCTCCCAGCTGCAGAAAGGTGGCTGCAAACTGCAACCATTTGCTCCTAGCAGCGCTGGCATTGTCAATGCACAGGCCTTCCCCGTCGAAACAAAACCACAACCGTTTGAACTGGTCCCATTTTTATGTTATTTTTTTATTTCTTTTGAAGCAGGTAGTATCTGTCTTACCATTTGTATTAGCTGACCCTGGTATAAGTCCCCCAGTTGCCTCTGCCTTGTGGAGGTGAGGCCCTTAGCCTCAGCTGCAATGCAATCCAGCACAGCTGGGCCTGCTGGGCAGCACTTGGGGTCAGGGCAGCCACAGCTGCACTGAGTTTGGTGCTCTCTGGGGCAGCTGTGGGGTGCTTGTGCTGCTAGCACATGAAATACATTGGGAGAACAGGTCCCTTTGGCCCCATTTCCTTGCTGGTTGAAGTGGTGAGTGACAAACTGGAGTCTTGATATTCTATTTACTGTGTTCCTGTTATCTATATCTTCCTTTGTTTTTGTTTTTTTTTTTTTTTTATGGGGGAGAAGGGAAGTAAAATCCCCAGGAAAGTGAAATCCAAGAGTAATCAAGCCTTAAACGCTTCATGCTTTGTATGTTTAAAATGACTGCTACATTGCTTTAGAACAAACTTATGTGCATAGAAATAAACTGCTGATGTTTTAGAATGGGGTTGATAGGCTTTTTAAGGTTTAATATTAGCTGGAACTCAAATAGATCCCTTCATCATTTCCTTTTGTATTTCTCATTTCTATTTTTCACCAAGTCTTGCCCATCTCTGCTTTCCTGAGGCTCTTTTTTGTTTATCCTACACGATTTCCTTCCTTCCTTCAAGTCCAGACCCCTTTGCTCCCCTGGGGCTTCCTATGATAGCTAGGCACTAATCATGTACTTCTGCCCCAGAAGCTCAGATAGAGGCTTCCTCCCCCTGCTTCCAGTCAAAGGAGGATGTAAGGCATAATGGTAATCTTAAACAACACTGCTATTCATTGTTTGGGAGATCTGGGAAATATCCTTGAATTCAGCTTGCTAAATTAGCTGCTTCTTGAGTAACCCACAGCTGCTGCGTATCTGTCCCATTACATTTTACAAAAATGCAGCAGTTCTCATTACATACAATATTCTCTCGACATATGGACCTTCCATTAGTTTATGTCTCTGTGTCGCTCCGTTGCCATGAATGTATACACAGAAACATTTTCTTTTGTACTTAAGGAAAAAAAAAAAAAATATCAAACCCAACAATTCTTGAGAACAGATTAAAGACAGGCACTCGCAATTATTCAGATGGAGGAAAGATGTTGCAGTGCCTTAGAATACAGCCTCTGTCGGGAGCCAATACTTAGATTAAAATGTTGCTTCTGGCAGTAAAAGTGCAACTACTCGCAGTTTCCAGGCTTCGTCCTGCACATGGATATATCTCCCTTGAAGTTGGCAGGCGTCTTCTTGTGCATGCAGATCCTGGAAGGCAGATGGACCAGCAGCGTAAGGTGATGCACAACCATCTATCTGAGGTGCCTGAGGAGGCAGCAGTGTGATTTTTGGATTTGGTCTGGTGTCTTTTCTCTTTCCTAGTGGTTCACAGAGGAACTTGGTTTGGAGAAAAATGGATTTCTGGCATTAGTGGATTTACACTCCCTACCCTTTAACAACTTCTCCAGCATAAGAACTTGAACAAACCTTGGGGATAAAGGCTTTTCTCTCTCCTCCCTCTTGTGCCCTTTCCTCAGCTTTGTTTCTCAAGTGAAGCTATGTCCTTGAGGAAAACCCAGACCTCCATCTGTGCTCTGCTCCCCTTCAAACTGCTGCTTCCAGGGCGGTGTAAGCCACGATGCATCCATTACTTTTAACAAAATTGCAGTGCTGGGACAAGCAAAATAAAGTTTTCCTTAGCTCCCTGGAGCACTGTTGGACACCTTCTCCTGCCTAGGGCTTATTTCATTTCCTTCAAGCACCTGGCCAGGGGTGAGCAATGGCTGTGCTCTACCAATGGCACAAAAGTGCTCTGTGGCTACGGGCTGATTGCTGCCACATCTCTCGGACCACAGGAGGGCAGCCCACAGCCTCTGAAGAGCACCTGAGCACCTGCTCTGCAGCGAGGGCCGGCAGATATGCTTGTAGTGGTCTTGACTCTGTGATCGTGATCGGTAGGCCAGAACCATGTGGCTCAACACTGTTCTTCCACCTAGCACAAGCTCTCTGTTTTCCATCGCTCCTTCTGTCTGCCTTATTTTTCTTTTCCTGAATTGCATTGATCATACTCTGTTGTCTCTTGCCGTGAGCTGCAGACTTGCTGCTTTAAGTTTGAGGCTCTAGATTTGTCTCATTCTCCAGGATGTTGCTGGGTTTGATCTTGCCTGCTTCATTAATGTGATTTCACGGCTCCCAAGTAACATTCCAAATGAAACATGAATAATGAACTCTGCTCTGATGCTGGCTCCTCTTTCGTCCCTTTAGAACTGAACTACAAACATGCTTTCGCAAACCTCGGAAAAGGTATCCACCTGTCTGCAGATTTGGCCTGCGTTACTCCTGCATCTGAGCCTCCTGCAAGGTAAGCTCGTGGCCAGCATGTGCTCAGGGCCCTGTGCTGCTGGAGGAGAGGGTGACCCCACAGGAGCTGCAGAGCAGCTGGGAGCCTGTATCTGTGTGGTGATATGCATTGGTGAACTGCTTGTGCTGGGTGGCTGCTTTCTACTGATTCATGCAGGACAGGGTGCAGGATATCCCCAAGAACTGCCCAGCTGTGTGCAAACCAGTCAGATGGGAGAGGCTGAGGGTGCTGCTGTGACTTCTGGTAGTCCCTGAGGTGCTTAATCCTTGTGATAAGGGGGTATCTCCTTCCCTTAAGATGAGAGATCCTTCTCACAGAACAGAGGGTTTGGGTTTCCGTTCAGTGGCCTCTAAATTCTTTGTCCAGAGCCCAGCAGCGTCTCTTCCTGGAGTCACTTAGGCCCATTCCTTTAGAAGTCATCCGTGATTGTGTTAGTATTTGTGCATAAATGAATATTAATGGTGAATGTGGTCTGACTACTGGGCCCATTTCCTCCCGCAGCTGTTTTTGTGTGAGACCCGATCCCCAAACATCTTGTGCACACATCTTGCAGCCTGGCTCTGCAGGCGAGCTCAATGGGGAGCGCGTTGCCTTGCTGGTGAGGCCTGTTGTGGTTTCGGCACGGACGGAACACATAGCTGCCGAGTGCTGTCAGGGTCTCAGCAGCCCCACATTTGCCTTACAGCAGACATTTAGGTACCCAGAGAACTTGTGGTTCAATTGGAAAATAGCTCATCTGCCCAAGGCCTCTCAACATGAGTGAGGCTGCAGCTAAACTGGAGTTTGGGGGGGGCTGGATGCTGGGTTTTGCCGCTTCAGCTGGCAGTGAAGGCCCACCTGCAGCTCAGGGGGAAGTTACAGCTTCAGCTCTCAAACTGAGCACCAAATCAACTATCGATGGCACTTCTATTCGGGCTCTGTGCATGTCTGCATTTCTCCTTTTGTGGATTTGTCCCAGAGAGATTCTTGAGACTGACCGTGGGACTGCTGTAGGAAGATGGTCTTTGGGACAGCAGGCTCTGAGACACAAACCCACATTCCCAACAAGCTGTTCTTAATCATTAAGTGAGCATCACCTTACAGATTGTGGATAATAGATTTATTTAAGTAGGGAAATGACGGTGCTACTCATGTGTCCAAACAAACTACAAGTCCTCCTTTTTGATGTGCGATCCTCACGACCTGCAAGCAGCCTGCAGCGGATGTGTGCTCTCAGAAACCCTGAAGCAAAAAGCTCTGGCCTTCAGAATGCTGTTGGCACAGTGCTTTTCATGAGGGAAGCCTAACGCAGGATGCGCTGCAGGCAGCAGAAAGGTTCCCACTGTCTGAAATCAATCCCAAATCATTTGCCTGGATCTTGGTTTAAATCACACAATCCAATTACAACTTAATCCCATCAATATGAAATAAATGTTCCCACCTTTGGTAATTTTCTCCGTGCGGAAAGCTGCTCTGCAGCACACAGCCTCACGCCTGTCAGTGAGTGTGTATGTTGCGTTCCTGCTGCACAACGGGAAGGGGGGCAGAGGAGGATGGCTGGTGAAACACACAGCTTGAAAATCCTTCTTTTGGCCCAACGTGGGAACGCTCTACAGAGATACTGTCATGGATCCAAGCAGGCTGGGGTTAAACGGTTTCCTCAGCTTTTCTCCCTAAATCAATTTGAATATTCTTGGCAAGCTCTGTTACTATGCATGGTGGGCAGCTGTGATTCAAGCTGGGATTTTTTTTTTCCCCTTTCTACTGTCCCAGTCTTCCTGTCTTGTGCAGATGTGATCCTTTCTCTCTGTCTGCCTAACAGCTAATTATTTTACCAGACCAGCCAATAGTCTGAAGAAAACAGACCACGCATATTCTTGAAAGCAACAACTGTGTTACAATGTTGGGGGGATGGGGAAGAAAAAAAAAAAAAAGTCACTTCCTTCTGACCCACTCCTTAAGCAAACCTCCATAAATAGCATGCATGCTGACTAATAAGGGACCCATCCATCTCCTAAGTTAGTTACCCACCTTTCACAACAGAAATGTACCCTGTGTATTTGGGGAAAGTTGGAGAAAGCCAGCTTGAGTGTACAAGTCATCTTGCTAAGTGCTCTGATCACCAGCGACCCAGAAATGTACGTGCCCATGTTGGTGTGAGAATGTGGATGGCACGTCAGCTGCTCCCCAGAAACTGCCAGGGGTCACTGTGCTCACTGAAATTTCATTCCCAGCCTCTTACAGGCAATTATGCCCTTCTTTAAAATATTGGAATAAGTAATTACTAAAATTAAAATAATTAGCCACTGAGTTTGGGCAGTACTTGTGCAAAGCTGACTGCTCTGTAATAGTCTGTCCCATCCCAGGTGTGAGCTGTTGAGCTATCAGGTGCACCACAATCACAGCGTTGTGTTTTATGGCCCACAGCCTGCTTTGAGAATGCCTACTGGTTTTGCTGGCACAAGAGGAGGAATAGTCCATTCCCAGACAACAGCCATCGCTTGCTGCTGCAACACAGAGGAGAGGTGTGCTGCCTTGCTGACCTTAGCCCCAGGATGAAACCTGTCTGCACCCTGCAACAGCAAAGAACAGCAGGTTAGTGGGGCTCACTCTGCTCTCAAGAGGCTGGTCTGTTCCTTGTGCCTGGGGATGTTGGTTTAAGCTGTGAGTTTACTTGTCGATTTCACAAGTAAAGCAATAGTGTACGCATCCTGAGAGGAAGGAATGAAGGCTCTGAAAGAAAGCATGCACTTCAGGGTGAGGTGGAAGCTGGTCACTACTGTTTGGAAAGTGAAATTAGAGTCTAAGGTGCTAAATGCTGCTGCATTCAGGTTGAGGTCTTTACAGAGATCCTCTGTACCTCTGGTACAAAAGCTGCAGGACCTGAAACAATGCAGAAAATTCCATTGCTTTTATGACAGGCAGCTTTTTTCCTTGGTAACAACTGCAAGCCCCAGTGCAGGGTAAAAACCAAAGCCTTCTCCCACCACGTTCCGTCCACACCAAAGGATCCAGTACTCTAGACATACTCTGTTTAAAATTCTGCACGAGCAAATCCTCAGTTGTAAATGATCATCCTTATTGCACTGAAGGTAAGCAATGTTCAGCATCAGCTGCTTTCATGGATAAGCTGGGACAGTGAATCAGTGAATCCTCCTTACTGCAGAATTGCAGCTCCAAAGCTGTTTTTGAGTAAGCAGTCCACTCCTAGAAGAAAGTTCCTTGCCTCTACAACCTCCTGTAGCATTAACAGAATCAGTACACAGAGCACTACATCCCCACCACACTGCCTCATTCACTTCTCAAGAAACATGAGCAGCGGAGCAGGAACCAAAAAAAACCAAATGTTCCTCACTTCTTTGCTATCTTTTAAAACGTGGTAACAATTTAATTAGTTTTTCATCCTCCAGGGCTGTAAGTTCTTGTATAATTAGATAATGGGTAATGATCATACAACATTTTGTTCTCATATGGTACACGGGTTCCATGACTGAGAATGTTTCATAGGTTATTCCAGTTACAGCTCCAGGCTATCACCCAGCAATGCTATAGGAAGCCCTAGCCCCTCCCTCCCCTTTTACAAGACTTTCTTACAGAGAACTATTTACCAGCATTACAGCTGCTTGCATAAATCCCCTCAGCTTTTACAAGACTTGCCACAGGGTAGTTTGAAGTAGCACTGACATACACTGCAATGGGAAAAGACAAAAATGGAATATTCCAAGGAAGCTGAGTGGCTGGGCATTTCCCAAAATATTGCTTCTCATGTCTTTAATGCCACCCTTGTACTTCATGCTTTGGCAGGAAAGCAATATCAAGTTTACACTGGGTGATTCAGAATGGGAATTCATTGGACAACAGTAAAGTTTAGATTTGGAACAGCCCCCAAAAGGGCTGCTCTGCTCAGAAAAATGCCTGATGCAAGTCAGGACTTACAGGATGTACTTGTGTTGAGGTCAGCAACTGTCAATTAATTAATTCATTAAAATACTTGGAGAGATTTAAAATGGGCACACAGTGAAAACATGCATGCAAGAGGATCCTGAAACCACTTAAGCTTTAGGGCAAACAAAAAGCAGATGGGAGATGGGTGTGGTGATGAAAAGGTGTAGGCAAGCGGCCCGTATCTGTCATTATTCCTGCAGCTACAATTTAATTACTGTTCCTCAGCTTTGTGGAAAGATTTTTTTAAGTTACAGGAAGGAGCACAAGTTGTGCAGTTGGAAGATGCCCCTCAGCATCATCCTAAATCTGTTAGAGATGCATAACATGCTTTATTTGTCACCTAGAATAGAAAATGTTTCCCTCAACTTTAAAATGAAGGAACTGCTTTCAAAACAACCTTAAAATGCAGAAGCAAAGTCCTACACTTCCTCTCCTCCCTGAGCTTCTCCTTGCACCAGCAACACCAAAGCAGAATCCTGCACGTGGCACAAGGAAGGCAAGGAGCCCTGCTCCAGCTGTTGGGGATATGCAGATGTGCACTGCAACCTTGGTTTGTACACTTAGCTGGGACAACAGGATGCAACAACGGGTTACAGAAAGGTAAGCTGCCTGCTTGAGGGATGTTATTTAAAGCTTATCTTAATACTGTGATGCAGCAGAGGTAAGAGGCTACAGTAGCACCTACTCAAAAAAGTAGCTTTTCTTTTTCCTTGAGTTCTATGATGGCAAAGTGACAGTGACTTATCTCAACAGGACAGCATACAAATTTATTGAAAAACAAACTAAAACAACTATTTCTGCCTGTGGCAGAAATAAAGCAAGTTTTCAGTTCAGATTTGAATACTTGCTGAAAAGTTTAACTATTTTTTTTCTCAACAATTCTCCTGGTTGCTAAGAACAAAGGAAGAGAGATATGTGGATTAAAATGAAAAGAAAACCAACCTGCATTTTTCACCATAATGAAACAGCAAATGAGGCTCGTTTGTGGCAAATGCATGAAGTACCTGTAGGGAGGAAGTCACTACTGAAAAAGTTGATGAGCAAACACTGGCTGAGCAAAAGCCATGTCAGGCAAACCAAGCCAAGGCAGGGAGAGTGGGGAGCACATATTATCATCGCTGCACAGAGGCAAAGCCTGCCTTCCCCCCACCTACAAATACAGTGATGAAATGAAGATTATAGGGGGATCTTTTTACCCCATCTATTGAAATCCAATCTACAACCCGTATCTAAGATGGCACATAGTTGGCCTAGTCCTTGAGACAGATTCAACCAGAGCCAAACTACACTTTGGGTTACTGTAAAGAAAACCAAAGTTGTTGTCTGCTGGAGACATAATGCCTGGGAATATCCATACAGATCAGCACGTGCAATGTGCTAGGATGAAGAAGCTGAATGAGCTTGCTACAAAGCCAGATAAATGAGTTTTTTCCACACGAGAATGCTATTATGTGGCTACCACGCATAGCCAGGTCACTGAAATCAATCAAGCATAGAGCTTGAACTAGGTAAGATTCCTCTCCAAGGCTACATATTAAGTTAATATAAATATATATATATATTAATTTAAACAAACTAGGGTGGAAGGAAGGAAATCTTGGCTAGAGAATGGAGATGGGGTGCCTTTTTCACTCTGTGACAGCAATCAATAGGGAACGTGCTATTCTGCCACATCAGATTTCCTCAGCATAAGCAGCTTGTGATAGTTTCATGATGAAAGTTATGTTAGAAAAAAAAACCTGACAAAACTGTGATTTCCCAAAGGAAACAAAGCAAACGTCATCTACTTTGAAAAAAATCTGATTTTATTTTTATATTGAAAAGACCTGTCAATTTAAATAGATGTTTATTTCCATTCATGGTCTCAACCAGTGCTGCGTGTTAACATGCTGTTCAGAGCTGTATAAAAAAGCCATTTGTGTTACATAGGTTAACATCCTAGAACACTGGGGGAGGGGTTTGAAGCAGCTTAACGTTAAAAGTGGGGTAGTTCCAAAAAACTTACAGCTGATGCAGCATCTTCTAGTCTAATTTTATAGGAGCTGAAGCATGTTGCAAATAGAACCAAAGTTATTTGGTCTTTAAAAATAAAAAAACCAACAACATTAAAACCAGATTACTTTCATATAGTGCTTCAATAGTGAAGCTGTCAGCTGAGAGAACAAGAGAACACACACTCGTGTGTGCTAACACATTGAGAACCACACTGAGCACAACTGGAACCCCATTCAGTCTGTGGATGTTGTATTCATTCTTCTGGATTCAGGATAGCTGTAATGCAATATGCTTTGTCTTTCTTTCTTTTCTTCCCCCCCCCCCAATAAATACATCGTTTCCATGAAATCCTAAGATACTGCATAATCAACTGACATTTATTTCTAATGGTGCTGTGAAGCTCTCTTGTGAAAGGGCCAAATTCCAAAACCTTTATTGAAGATAGGCACATACCTAACTGAAGCCAATGAAGAGGGGAGAATGTGGCTTAGAAAAGGGGTTCAGGTCAAGGTCTGGATTTGTACAATTGATCACGTGGCAGATTGTCATTCAAAAAAAGGTTGTTAAGTCATTCTTTGGTTTATTTACACCATTCTCAAAGCTGTCCAGAAAGCCCAGAGACAGTCACGTGAGAAACCATAGCTGTAAAGCAAGCGCACAGCATTTTTAAATCTTGTGTATTAAATGTTCAGAAGACTAGAGGAATTCAGAATACCCCTTACATTCACGTCCCCAAAAATCTAGTAACTGCATAAGTGCATGCACTGAGGCATGACCGGCATGCCTGTAAATTCATATTGTTCAAGTTAAGAGTAAATATAGCTGCAAAAAACCCCACCCACCTATAATTAAATGGTCATTACTAGCAATACTATAGCATCTGTCCTGTTGTTTAAGAAATGCAGACGTGGTCTCTGCCTGTTTGGCTCTCTTGGCCAAAAGGAAGCCGTCTGCTTGATTTAGAAAGAAAGCAACTTTTAAGAATCCAAGGGAGTTTAATATTTCCCCGTTCCTGGGGCCGATCATTAATGTAAAGATGTAGACAAATGGCAAGTATATGAAAGCACATCTCGTACATTCCAAGGTTTGGAAGTCAAAAGCAGATCTTAACCTCCTCACGTTTACATGTTATGGTAGGCTTGGAAAACTAAGTAAGAAGTGAGATAACATTTCCATGACAAGCAAAGTAGAACTACATCTAACTGGCATCCGTATGCGAGCAGTTTTTGCTATGCTTTGTGTAAGGCAGATTTGATTGTGCTGATCAGTCTGCTATGGGAAAGAAAATACAGGCAACTCTACTGGGAGAAGATGGCTGATAATTACTAGTGACAACTTCTAGTTTTCAGTACAACTCAGCTTTAATGTACTTTCTGCAAACAGCATTTCTGTCATTGTTTTTCACTTCCTTCCCCATCCCACCTAAAGTAACCAAAAAAATCAAAATGAGTTGCAGATATTTACCAACCAACATCTCCTCTTCCAGTGCTATTTTCAACTAGAACAAACACAGGTCATTCTTTATAACCTACTGCCAGTGGTTGTTTATAAACATCTGCTTGCTGCGATGAACACTGGGCATTGAAATATTCATTTGCAATAACTACTTGGCACTAGGTTAATATACTTGTAAAGTTTAATACAAGTGCTTCTGATGTACATACAAGCACTTAAAACATTTTAAACTTAGTTTGGGGAGTTTTAATATCTTTAATTACAGTTTTCACAAGCATTTCTGAAAGTATTAAATCTCTTTAGAAGTTCAGAGGCTCCTCTCTCAGCACATCTAAGTAAGTTTCTCAACAGTTACAGAACAGCTAACGTAACATTCTTGCTCCCTATGCTGAGATAACATGGTACCAAAACGTAGCTACAAAAAGAGGCATTTTTGGTCAGACTGACCTCCAGCTGTCCCTTAACAGAAAAGCAACACAGCTCAAACCTGTCTCCTCCCTCCAAAATAAAAAAAAAAAAAGACATCTAAGGCCACAAATTTACTTTTGCCAGAATATCCGGTGTTCCCTGGTTTGTGGCAACTGTGTACATGCCCACTTAGAGAAATACAGCATGGAAGCCCCACCTCCTCTAAGGATTCTGATAAATGGCCTCAGAGACCAGTTTGAGGCAGCAGGGCATACAGAACCACATTACATGGACACAGTGTGTAAAGCCATTCCAGCTAGTTAAACTAGTTTCTAACTATGCTTAATCAAAATTCCTTATTGCAGGAAAGAAAAAGAAGTCTTAATGTAGAGAGAGGCAAAAAGATGCAAAGATAACCACCACAATGATCCAATAGCAAAAGCTCCCGTTTAAAGGTTTTCTTATGCTAAAAAAGGCACACAACCCCTTGTGAACTAGAGACAAAAGCTAGCAGTACTACAGCAATAAACCCAGAAGAAAAAGCCTACCAGAATTACCCAATTGCCTACTGGGAAGGAACAATGAAGTAGACAGGCTGCTCTTGCTCTGTTTTGTTTGCGGGGAAGTGGTCAAATTTAATAGTCAAATTTAGCCACATTAAGAAACGTTTAACAAAAGCTACCCCAAGAAACCAGAACAAAACCTGACCTTTGGGTCAAAGGCCACAGACAGGCCTTTCCATAGCATGTAGCTGAGTGAGTTCAGAGATTGGCAATGAAAGAAAAAAAGCTTTAGACGTGATGGGAACAAGCTTTGGGATTTATCGAACAGTCACACCAAGCTTCTCCAGCACACGCACTCCCTTTTCTTGGTATTCTTGTCGGGTCATCCAGAAGTTGTCTTTGTCTTTCATGATGTCTGCTAGAACTGCGCCGCCCAAAAACACCATGTGCTTTCGGCGAGGTGGGTCTTCAATTCGGATCTTAAATTTCTAAGGAAAAAAAACCCCAACAAAACTGCTGTTAGGATTCTCAAAACAAAGCCTACTCAAACAGAACTGTGCTTTCTACTAGAACAATGAAAGAACAAAAGCTGCTTAGTGTGAGAAACGCAACCAAAATGCAATGCTAGCACCGGGCACTTTGTGTGAGCTTCCAGCTCGCACAACCAAAGTCAAATAACTACTTTGCACTGGAAATTAGAGAGGGCTATTGACACGTCCCCAAAATTATACCTTCCACGTATCCACAAAAAGCCCAGAAGTCAGAACAGAAAATTAAAGATCGTATTCTTGCATTTTATGAACACGGAAGAAGAGTTAAATACTTGCTAAGCTTTGATGGCTAAAATTATCAGGAGTTTACCAGATCACAAAATGTTTTAGAATTATACCAAATTTGAGGAGGGCAGATGGAACAGATTCTAAATTTATACAACTTAAGCCAGCTTATCTAATGAATATTCTTAATTATTTGATGCCCAAGCTCCAACTGCAAGAGCAAAATGAGCACAGTCAAAGCTACATGTGATTTTGTGATTCTATTCTGTGCAACTGAGTCATTCTAAATGGCTGTAAGAGATCTTCAGAGAATACTGTATTCAAAGCTGAGGAAGTTCAATTCAGTTCAACGTTAGAAACTTCACTCAGAGAAATTTCTTCCATAAATATCTCCTTTTTGAAAAGCACATGACATTGTTACTAGATAGAAGGCAATGCTACCTCCATCATCTGTTTGGCTTTTGTCTGCAGGTGAGCAAGGAAAATTATTCCACTTGACGACGTGTGAACTCTAGCCTTAAACTTCTGAGCATTTCATCTACAATGCATAGCATGAGCCCAAGCTTTCAAAGACAGAAATAATTTTTGCTCAGTGATGACTTTCTGTAGCACAAAAACTCACTAGCACCCCTCATTCTACATGAGAGTTGTACGTTAGCATTTAACTGCACATTTTATGCTCAAACTAACCCAAGACTTCAGGAACGACTTTCTATTAGCATGACCAGAAGGCAGCTTTACTGCATATACATGCAAAAGCCAGCACAAGACTGTGAAGAACCGGGATGCACCAAGCTTTTCAAGCTGTGTGGAGGGTGATCCACAGCTTGTCATTTCTGACTACTTGGTTCCCTCTAGCGGGGATTCAGGATAAACCTGCGCCCCACACAAATACAGCAGTGACTCAGAACTTACCGAGAGTTTTTCCACGTCTCCTTTCAGAACTCGTTCCAGGTAGAGCTGTTTAAGTTCTCGCTCCAGTCGTGAAGGCAGCCCAGGGTACATAGTGGACCCTCCAGACAACACAATGTGCTTATAGAATTCAGACCTAACCAAGAGAACAATCTTTTTAGAGTGCTACAGAGTTTCTGATAGGACAAGTAGGTACCTGTACATACAGAGAAGTAAATACAGATCTACAAAACTGACATCACACAAACACAAAAACAACCTTTGCCCAAGTTTGGCACACTTGCTCACACTTCTCCAGATGTCCCAGAAAGCAGCAATCAAAAAAGAAGGAACACGAAAGAAACCCCACAATTCCAAGATTTAATCCTTGCTTATTCATACAAAATAGTAATGTTTTCAGATAATGCACTAAGCTTCAAAAAGTCATCTAAGACCGACCCCCAGTTCCAACATATATCTTCACACAGCTGGTGGTGACTAAAGCAAAAAGATGTTATTTTCTTGGAAAGCAATCCCTGTGTCACAATTCACTGTCAGAGTGCAGGAGTAAGTGTGCTCTTACCTGGTATCAATGTCAGCAGCCTGGATGGTGTTGAACAGCAGCTCAGCCACACCAACCCCCTCCACATTGATTAAGTGAGGCTGGAAAAGTGCCTCTGGTGCCTCAAACCGTTCTCCACCGACTTTGATAATCCTGCCATCTGGGAGCTAGTGAAGAGAAAGCCATTCAGCAGGCTGCTTTTAGCCACTCAGATACAGAAAACAGGAGGAAATGACTTACGTTGTTACTAGGTGTTTTAAAGCAGGAAATTGTTGCTTATTGTCACCACTGCAAGAAGTCAGTGCTACTGAAAGAAGATTCTTCAATTGCTATGTGATTTACTTACAGAGATCAAGGACCAGATACACTGATACTGAAGTACCAAATGCTGCCTTGCAATACAGCTCTTAATTTTGATTTTAAAGATGAACTTGAGGCAAGAAAAATGCTATTCTGAAACTCCTTTCTTTTCATGTGCTATTACAGCAAGTCTCCTAAGAGTAAGTTTACCCCCCTTCTTACCAGTTTCCAGTCCCAGATGTATCACAGCTAGAGGGACGAAGCTGAAACAATCTGACCTGCTAGCGTAAGTCCACTTTCTCTACAAGTTTTTGTGCTGTAATATTCAAATTTCAAGCATCTACAGTTACAAAAGTCAATACAAAGCTTTAAAGATATCCCCAAAATCAGCTTTTCTAGTTTTCCCAGAACCAAGTAATGTGATTCTACAGACTTCTGTGTCTGGGAAGTGAGCTACTGCCAAGACAAACTTACAAGGAATCAAAGCTAAATGCTACCTGATTTTAGACCTAATACATTTAGGTCAAGAAAATGTGCCTCAAAACACTCACCGTGTACGACTCAACTAGTACTGTGGTCTCTAATGCCAATTTCTGCTCCTGTTCAATGTTGTATCCCACATAGCACAGCTTCTCCTTGATCATGCGAACAGTCTCGAAATCAGCAGAGTGGTTGAAAGCATAGCCTCGCAGTAAGAGGAGCTGCAGTGAACAGATTAGATTAGCTATAAAGGTGAGAAACAGCACAGATCTCCTTGCCTCCAGTGTGCACAGTCAACAACTTGTCAAGTTTCCCTGGCTTTTCTAGCTGCAAATTCAGTATTAAGTCAAATCTGTAACTGTATCCATTATTATCAGAACAAGGAAAAAAAACCAACCAGATACAATATCACTGTAAGTAGGAAATCTTCCCAAGAACTTCCAGTGCAATTGTTACAGAAGTGAAAGATACTAAAATAATCCTCCCATTTAGGACTTCGCTTCAGAACAGCACAATATTGCAGTTAAGCAATATTCTGGATTAAAAAATCCTAAGGTTTACATACTTTTTAAAAGTAAATAATAAAACATTCTTATTTAATAATCAGATAAGAATCATTACATTATTTTCTACACTAAAAAAGATGTTAGAATATATAGTCGTTTTTATTTTACATCTCAAGAAAGCCAAATGTGAGATTTTCCTTCCCAAACACAGAAGGGAGGCCCTTCCCTTCTTAGACTATTACTAGGAAAGTGAGTGAAGTCTGAATAACATCAGTGCTATAGATGAGGAAACGTAACACAGAGAGGCTGAAGCAATACAAAGAATACTGGTTCTCTTTCTGTAAAGAACACACAAACAATAAAGTTTCTTCCTACCAAGGGATTTTAACTTGAACCCGTGTGCCACTGCCATCAGCCTCAGCCTTAAAGACTCTTTCCAGCTCACCTTAATGAGGTACCTGGTGATATCCCTCCCAGCAATATCTAACCGCCTGGTGAGATGAGGGAGAGAGAAACCTTCATAAACTGGGCAGATATGAGTGACACCATCTCCAGAGTCCACAACAACACCAGTCAGCAGACCTAGAAGAATGAAACAGGGGAGGAAGTACAACTGTTAGTAGCACCTCCATAAATAGAGCAGAACAGTTTTATCATTGTAATCATAACCTTGTTGGTATCCTAAAAGAACACTGTAATGGTCATCACCCTTTTGAGAAAAGGAAGCAAAACCTAAAATTCAGTTATTTCCACTCACCTAGATTTTAAACATAAGATTTTCACAGTGAAAATGCCTGTATATACACATGTTAAAAACGGATTATCCTTCCTCTTGCCTAGGTGCTTCAACTCTACCATTTGCCATTTTTTCCACTGTTTTCACATCTTAAATTGCATCTTAAATTAAAGAGAATAGCTAAGGTCATTAAATGTTTGTTGGATTATAAATTCCTGAGTAGATCCAGTTATGTATGTGCAACATGATATTAATTGCTCCAATATAAAGAAATGTGGAGGTATTCATGCCACAAGTTTCTCTTGTTAGAATACTGTTAGGATTTGTTCATGATGCTTTCTTCTCAAGTACCAATTAATGCTTTCATAGGGCAGAAAATATCTGTTCTTCAACAGCAGACTGCTCCAAGTTGTTTTATGTTTTGTTGTTCAGAGTAACTGAGCACTATGCAGTAAAATAAATTCTGCTGTAATTGTAAATGGAAGACTGTGCATTTTTCAGACAGATAGACTTGTAATGAACCAAACAAAAAACAATGATAAAGGAAAAAAAAAAAGAAAGAGTGATCAGCAAATAAAACTAAAAAACAGGCCTGCAAGAGTGGTTTGGGTTCAGCTGCTTTTAGTGACTTGCATAGCAGTCCCTCTCTTGAACTTCTGCTCTTGGGCACAGACGCTATGATGACATGTCAACAAGGAAGGACATTTTGATTTCCTGCCACACAATGGTTAGGTACACCAAGCCACCAGTAAACAGATGTAAGAAGTCATGTTATTAGAACCCACGTCTTGAATATCCTAGATCATTGATGAACGGCAGCCAATGGCAGAATTTCTATTGAATTCAGTGAATCTGTAATTTTCTTTTTAAGCTGGCAGTTATTTATTCTTGCTTATATACAGCAGAAGAATCAACATGTTCCTGAACTGAGAACAGTGCAAAGTCACCTAATCAGCTGCTTGACATTCATTTGTGGTGATAAACCTTTCAGAAAACCAAGAGCATGTCATTCAGGCTTGGAAAGATGCTGAAGACTAAAATGAACTGCACCTTCAAACAGTGAGTTTTGATAAACTGGATTTTACAAGTAGGTCTGCTAAATGTGCACACAAAGATAACTATCCATAATTCCCAAAAACAAAAAGCAAACCTTTAGAACAGAATTGAGCTTGCTTACAGCAGTACCCAAGCCTCATTAATACTATATTAGAGCTCTGCCTTAGCAACACATAAATTAAACATATTTTAAGTTATCTTTGCCTACCTTGAGCATACAAAGTAAGGACAGCCTGAATGGCTACGTACACTCCAGAAAACTGGTATGTCTCAAACATAACCTGCAAGATGAAGGCAAAAATTAGTGTCCAAGGCCCATCCTTGAAGGAAGTGTCACAAATGTTTGAAAACAGTCCTTAAGTAATTCTGTATTTTCACCCATCAAAAACACTTTCCAAGAAATTTCATCGCAAATACTGTATGCAAACATTAAAAACCCACTTGCTTTATGGCAGTGATTAGCACTGTCAGTTTTATACCTTACCTGTCCATTCATGTGAGACGAGTCATCTCAAAGACTTCAAACATTTCACATCCACTCGGCAACAAAAAGTGAATGCTTTCAAGAAACCTATGTGCCAAATCCTGCCATTTTACCAAGCCATTTTCTAAAGTGTGTATCGAGTGGGAGGCACGTACTTGCAGGCCAGCCAGCTACTTCATTATTTAAATGTGACTTGGGAACTAAACATTTGTTATAGCTGTATGTTCTACTTCTAACGAGGTTCAGATTTTTTCTTCTTCATATCAGGGTCACCATCTTTACACAACTGGAGATTGTCCAAGACAGAGCAAACAAACCTACTCATATTGGTCTAGAATCAGCGCAGTGTCACAGACTGTCCTCTGGGCCTTCTTCCTTTCTTTGAAGTGCAAGGGGTGACAAACTTCTAGAATTAGCTTCAGTGCAAACCTCGCTACAATGGAAGGAGTACATCTAGAACGACTCAGATACTACTTACAGAACAGTCACAGAGTACAGAATCATAGAATGGCCTGGGTTGGAAAAGACCGCAATGATCATCCAGTTTCAACCCCCTCCTGTTATGTGCAGGTTGCCAACCAGCAGACCAGGCTGCCCTGAGCCACATCCAGCCTGGCCTTGAATGCTCCAGGTATGGGGCATCCACAGCCTCCTTGGGCAGCCTGCTCCAGTGCATCACCACCCTTTTTTTTAAAAAAAAACCAATGCAGGTTTGCAGAGCAGCTCTTATTAAAACATGAAAGGAATTGCCCATCTCATACACTAAGCTCCCCTAAGCACTGAAACTAGTTGCAGTGAAGAAATGGTTTAAAATTAAAGGATGTCCAGTTTATCGGATCTTGTCCTCTCTGTAAACACAAAGAAGGCAAAGTAAACAAGTAATGCACAGCAGCTTCCTCCTCCAAATGCTTTACCATGAAAAAATGATGAACTCTGATCATTCCAGCACAAAGTTCTGTTTTTGCTCTTCTACAGCCTCCCAAGCACTTCTGCCACTTCCAGGATTAGAAACTGATTAAATCCTAAGCACTCCCACAGTTCAAGTAAAAGATATCTTAAAGATCTTAAATATCTTAAAGGAAAAAAAAATGCTGATGCCTGACAATTTCAAAATTCTGAACTATTTAAAGACCCTCCTCTGTTAGAAGAGCACAGTTTTAAAATGGCTGTTCCATTTCAAAATCCTGATCCTTGCAAAGTCAAGTTAATTATTTCATAGCTATATTGAGCACATAGCAAAATCCCTGGGAACACAGATGCTCCCTTTCTAGGAACATCTGCAGTGAGCATAGAGTATGACAGAAGTTAGAGGAATGTAGAGGGAGTGACTGCAAAGCACCTTGCCATGAAAATGGCTTGCTTTGGGTTTTTACAACCCTTCCTCTGACCTGCAAAAATCTGCTGAAGCTCATATACAGAGATCTGGGGCTTGCTGTTCTTTCTTTCAATGTTCTTTCTTTCAAACCATCTAGGTCTGCTCTCTTTGACTACAAAAACACCTCGTCACAGGGTGAACATATTAAAAAACCTAAGATGTAAACACAGAGCAGAATTTCCTTCTAGTGACAGCTGCTTTTGGATTAGCTGGTGATGTTCTAAGCGGGTCTAGGGAGGAAGAACAAAGAATTGAGATAAAGAGACAAAGAAAACTAGACTGAAACTAGGAGAAGTGACTGTGTTAGAGTGTATCTGTAACACTACATGACGTGCAACAAAATTCAAGCTGCTCCTAGGGGTATTTCAGAATGATAACGGAGCAACAACTGGAGACAAGCAGCAAACATTACCTTAAATTGAACAGCAATCTGTGCCTTGTGCATGCTACAAAAGAAACAGCGCTTTAAAAGTATCTATGTTACAATGTACCATCATGTGAACTGCTATTTCTGTGTAGCTGTGTTTGATGGAGAAATGCAGCAAGGAAGGAGAACCAATGGAAGTAGAACGAAGTACAGCACAAGTAATTATCTACCACCTTGATATGGTCCAAGTGACTAAGCTTCTTCTTTGAAATACTATTACTGCAATGCATCACAAAACATAGAGACATCTACTACAGGCTTTAGGAAAACGTTAACTCGATTCCCTGCTTCATTCTGGTGTAGCCTCCCTGAAAAGGAAGAGTATGCTTCAAAAGTGGAGGACAGACAAGAGTAAATAGGTTGCAGTTAAAAATAAAACATTCCTAGTCCTCCTAAGGCTATGATCCATTAAGAATATTAATAGAAACAGGGAACTCCTGTTCAGCTCAAGTTTGAGTTTATGAAAATGGATTCTGGTTCTCCTTAATCCTCTGAATCGTGGTCAAGTATCTACAGTCTCTGGAGTGGCTTTAAAAAGCACATGGGGCAATACAAATGTTTCCTCAGACTTCTGAAGCTATAGGAGGCTTCTCAATTTATGGGATAAAATTACTCAGTACCAGAATAACTAAAACCCAGCCTGTTGCACTTAGCAGGAAAACAGAAACAAGTACACCATTGTAGGCAGCTGAAAAGCAAAGCAGCCTCAACAGGAAATTCAGCCATTCCTACTCCATGGAGGCAACCCAGAACAGGTCACTACATCCATCACACCACAGCTGACTGCTACACAACAGATAACGCTGCTAATGTTGAGTTACACAACACTTAGATAATGGGCCACTAATGCCTATAAGTGCTAGAAAATTTTCAATTTAAAAACACAAAAAATTGCACAGTTTGATTAATCCCTTCCCACCAAAAGAAAAGATTGCTGTAAAAACACCCATGGTCACACTGCAGAAAGCATTACTATAGCTGTGACAACTAATGGTTTAAAAGGAAAGTTAGTAGGTCATGATAAAAGTAAGTTCTTATTCCTCTAACCAACCAAATTCAGAGGTAGCTTAGGTTGTCCAGGGCAGCACAGGATCCAAGAACCCAGCTTTCTTTCTAAAAAGGCTTTCATTGACAATCCCTAGTGTTAATCAAAGATCAATGTTGTCATCACACCTTTGTCTCAGCTACTTCCAACAACACTGCTCCATCTGGTAAGCATCATCTTGTTCAAGCCTCAGTCTCTTCAGAAACATTACAGGCTTACAGAAGTTCAAGTCATTTAAATTACTTAACATTCATCCAGTACCTGGTAATCAAAATATCTCAGATACCTGACAAAAAGCAAGCATTGCTGACTGTTTTGTAGGTGATGTGGCTTGAGACACCCAGTCTGCTTATAACTTTTGGATAGAGGGACTGTTTGAATTTGACCACTGCAGCCTTTATCACCATGGCTGCTGACACATTTTGCTCAGAAGGTAGGAGAACTGCCTCGCCTCAGGCAGCTTCTGTGCATTCCGAGAAAATGCAGGTTTTTTATCCATGCTTCAACAACAGCACATCCTAGTTCCTATTAGAGAGACGTACCTCCACGATCTTCTCTCTGTTTTTAGTTGGGTTCATAGGAGGCTCTGTAAGCAGTATTTTACAATTTTTTGTGTCAATATTAAGTTTCTCTGGTCCAAATGTGTAATCCCAGAGGTGCTTCATATCATCCCAGTTCCGAACGATGCCATTCTCCATTGGATAATTAACTTCCAGCATTGAACGCAATTCACTTGCTTCATCTCCAACCATGAGATCCTGTAAAATGTTAACATTGAAGTCATGTCAGTTGTTAACTGTCATGCATTAACATGTCAGTTGTTGCAAAGTCTCCTAAAGAACAAAATCCTCAAACAGTGACAGCAAGCTGTGCCAGCCCACATTTACGTGTTATTAAACAAAGCCCACATTTCAGGATTGCTTTCAGGAACTTAGGAGACAAGTAGAATATATTCCATCTAGTATTTAAATTGGGCTGTTATCCATCCCAAACCTTCTCCAAAATGAACTTTAATTCCATTTTCCAGTTAACCCCACACACACCAACAAGCCCCACTAATGCTAGATACTGCCAAGACTTCTGTACGTGTAGATGTTTCTCCACTGACACCTCCAAAGTTTTGTCATCAGATTTCAAAAGGCTGAGATGCAAAACAGCATATAAGGATAGTAGGTAGACTGCAGAATATTTTCCCTG